TGAACAGTGCTCATTGAAAGACATGAGTAATATAGTGACATATTGTCGTTTGACTTATCTTTGGTGATGATTTTAATACCGTAGATTTTCAACAGACAGTTATGCTTTGACATATACCATGATCGTTGGTTTCAGCAATGCATATGCCAAGGAGCAATTTTATAGTTTTTTGACGCGCTTTAAGTTTTTTTGAGAAGGCCTTTATATAAATCAACAATCTGAATACAGCTGCCGTCTTGGCAATATTTCGGAGATCAAAAGATCTCGCCATTTCGTTGCAATTCCACATCTCATCAATAAATAAATTCTTTTGGTCCGAGTATTAGGATAGACTTTAATACTAAATAAATAACAACCACATTGTTCGGTTTGACTAAAGATATATATTTTCTTGTCGGTTTAATATCGCCACGCTGCACAAGCGGCAAGCGTGCTTTCTTTGGCAAGTCTATAAGTTGAATATTGAAATCTGATCCAACTTGTTTGAATTATAACTCGACACCAGATTATAGAGTAGAAAGTCACGATATAAATATTAATTTAAAAGTTCCCTTCACGATTTCTTGTTGCAAATTTACACTATATTTAATCACCCAAAGTTGCAAATTTAAAACGCCACAAACACGCTCCTCTCCCACCCTAGCCTACCCATAGTAGAATTTTAATTTACTTCCCAATATTCCCAGTAGAATTTTAATCTACTTCTGGGAGGCACGTGACGAGCCGCAGCCAGGGACTCTCCCAGCTGACAGAAGCAGAGACCCTGGGAACGAGATTGGTGTTAAGGTAGCTCAAAATAGTTTTTTAAAAATGGAGAATTCACGTTTTAGATCAGTATTTTCGAGAATTATTACTTTTTCAAAAACAAAGAGTATCTTACTGATGTAAAATTAAATTAAAAGGTTTGAATTTTTTCAGAAAAGTTACACAACTGCCGTTGCTATGGCAACAATGAAGTTTCAAATTTGCGAATATTTTGGCTTTAAAGCAGTAAACTCTAAATAAGCTGGAATAATAACTACATTGATCAAGTCCTGTGATTGGTTGAAGCCAAATATGAAGCCAAGCTCGGAAGCCGCGCGGGACAAATTAACTTTCAAAGGTACTAGGGAGAGTTTCGTGGAGAGAGTAATTCAGTCAAAACTTTGTTTTTGAGCGAAAATCAGCAAGAAAACGTTTTTTTATCAAAATAATACAATTCTAATAATTCAAACCTGGTTTTCTGAATAGTTCTAAGTATTTTGCATCCACTAGCAGCAAAAACTTCCGGGATAACAGTTTCTGTTCAAAATATTACACAAGTTTGAACGTGTGCCAAAAAAACTTCGCATTTTGACTGCGGAGAAAACAACTTTAACACTGCTCAACGTTCTGGAAACATGTTTCGTATTAATTCAAGTATTGTTGAAAGATTTAAGCTTTCTTACTTGTTTGAAATACAGCTATTTAGTGCTCAAAAACAGATGTCTTTTCGGCTGCTTATTTTCGATTTCTTGCAAAGATGGTCAAGTTAAATGTTATCGTTTCAGTTCCAGTTTCAATTCCAGTTCCAGTTTAACGTACACGACATCGGTGACCTCCAATTTTTATTTAATAAAATGATATTTTTGGTAGTTTACTTCATTATTTTGACAATTTTAAAAAAAATATGTTGAGCTAAATGTGCAAAAAAATTTTTTTGGCTCAACAGAATTTTTTAAAAATTGTCAAAATAATTGAGAATATGGAAGCCTTGGTATGTGGTTGGACTCACATTTGTCAATGGATATTCACATTGGAAAGGTGTGTATATAGTAGTCAGGCGATTCGCAACCTCTATAATATCCGACAAATAAGGAAGTTCCATTCAGAATAGAAAAACAAAGATTTTGGTTCATGCTCTTATTACTTCACACCTAGACTATTGTAACTCATTCCTTACTATAGCTAACAAAGAGTAGAGCATTGTGAAATAGGACCCTATTTGCCGTGTGAATTAAATTAATTTACACCTGCTTCGCTCTGACAGCGCGCACGAAATTATTTTAAATTCTGATTAATTAAAGTCTCACTTGAACACATATATAAATTAGAAAACACATTTCAATATTGATCATTGAAAGAGCATCAGCCTCGTGCCCAGAAGGAGGACGATGGGAGAGTAGAGAAAGCCCTGGTCTGGCCCGGTCACGTGATTTGGATATATTTGGCAAGGAGTAATGAAAATGTTCTAGAGTGTGCATTATATAATTTCCATACCCAGCGCAAGCAGAAAGATGTTGTCTGCCGCGGCTGGGTCTTGAACCAGCTACCTTCGAATTACTAGATCGACGCTCTACCAACTGAGCTACACGGTCAGACGGATTTAAGACTGGTTGCATAATGGTTTCATAATGTTTTCGTAATGGTTTCATAATGGTTTCATATTGGTTTCATAATTTCCAGTCATAAATCCGTCTGACCGTGTAGCTCAGTTGGTAGAGCGTCGATCTAGTAATTCGAAGGTCGTGGGTTCAAGACCCAGCCGGCAGACAACATCTTAACTACCAACGGTACCGTTTCGGCGTCATGGGCCTCATCAGTGTAGTGCTGCAGGACTGCAAATTACTGTCGGACATCGGACAATGTCCGACTAAATTTGGCAAATGTCCGAGCAAAAGTAATTTTGATCGGACATTGGTCCGATCACAAAAAAAATTCTACATTATACATTTTTTTGCTGTAACAATTAAAATCCGATTGCAAATTCACTCAATTTGCTGGTTTTTGGTGCTCGATGTTGGTTTTTGTCCGACCAAATTCAAGTCGTTACGTCCGACCAAAATTAAAAGTGATCGGACAAATGTCCTGTCAAGTCAAATATTTATTTGCAGCCCTGGTGCTAATTAGCAGCATGAAAGTAACTGCTATTTACAGTTACCTTTGATGCCTCACGATTGTGGGACATCAAAACCATGCCAGAGCGCTCAAACTGCAAGCAGTGAGCGTGCGCAATGCGTAAGCGGCATGGCTCATCCTGTAGAGCGCTCAATATGACCTAAAGGCCATAGAAATATATATATATATAGAGAGAAGAAGAGAAAGTAAGAAATATATATATATATATATATATATATATATATATATATATATATATATATATATATATATATATATATATATATATGTTGAGTTGTGTAATTGTACACTCCGTAATATGTTAAGGTGAAAATGTTCTCGAGTGTGTATTATATAATTTCCATACCCAGCGTAAGCAGAAAGATAAAGTATGCCTCGGCTGGGTCTTGAACCCGCGACCTTCGAATTACTAGATCGACGCTCTACCAACTGAGCTACACGGTCAGACGGATTTAAGACTGGAAATTATGAAATATATACTGAATGTCATAAACATGCTCGTTTATATTAATTCAGCATCGAACAATACAAGTTCTGCAAGTGTTATGTTGAGTTGTGTAATTGTACACTCCGTAATATGTTAAGGTAAAATGTTCTCGAGTGTGTATTATTGCTGCGGAGCGAGCTAGCCTGAAGCGAGCGAGCGTAGCAGCAACTAATATGTGCAGAGAGGGGGTTTTGAACTAAATTTTATTTAGCGCATGGAATTGTGGTGTGCAGAACACAAATTTTAAACTCGCTGGAGTCTTTGAATTTTTATCGAATTTCTAAAGCTTTTTCAAGTCTAATGTTACATTTACATTTGTTTTGGACTTTGGCCACTGTCATTTCTATATTTTATAAAGTTTTGGTTTCTTAGTGTGATAAATCTGTGTATATAGTCTATATAATGTGGTAAATGCGCCTAGCAATGACAGACTTGATATAAAATATGATCTTAATTTACCTGTATGTCAATGAGACGCACATATTTAATATCTGTCACCTCTGATTGCCCTTTAACCCCTGGTCTTTGCTACTACAATATATATTGCTTCTTCTCAGTTCCATTCACAGCTCACTAGTCGCTGCGAGTAATCACTGTGCTTGGTACAATTTGTGCTGTTTACTGTAGTTCTAATTTAATTGCTTTTAATGCCCGCAGCAACCCTACCTTGCATGTACCCTAGTATAATTTCCATACCCAGCGTATATAGCAGAAAGATAAAGTCTGCCGCGACTGGGTTTTGAACCCGCGACCTTCGAATTACTAGATCGACGCTCTAGCAACTGAGCTACACGGTCAGACAGATTTAAGACTGGAAATTATGAAATATATACTGAATGTCATAAACATACTCGTTTATATTACTGTCGTTCCAATTAAAGTGTTGCTCAAATATTGATTCAATACATTACCTCGGGCTGACCAATTCATTTCATCAAGTTCCTCGAGATATTCATACACTTCCTAGTATAATTGTAAACTTCCTGTTGAATAGTTTGAATGCACCAAACACCTTTGTTGTTTGTGCAACTAACAAGGGTGGGTAGTAGCGAAGTAGTTGTAGTTCGCTACTGTAGCGAACTACAATTTTCAAGTAGCCAGTAGTTTTTGACTACTTTTTTAAAACAGTAGTTGTAGTTATAGCGAACTACATTTTGCCTAAAAGTAGCCAAGTAGTTGACTACTTTTCAAACGGCGAATCGTTATTCGTTACTTTTTAAAATTGTTAGCAACCGTTCATAGAATAGAATGATACTAGAAGTTACTACCGCAAGGAAAATGCTGCCTCAACCCGTCTTCCATCACACAAGCACGTAAGGCACGGATATAAAATCATGCTTTCACCAATGGGAACACAAGTACACATGCAGGAATTTGCCCCCAATAGCAGGATTCCTCTTTTGCCTAATGTCAAGATTGCGATGCCTCCTCTATGATTATATTAAATCCTATTGACTTCCCCAAATTCCTTACTCTTCAAGAAATTACTTCCTTGGAAATTCCTTCGTTCTAAAAAAGGAAGGACTTTGTGAAAGTCTACAGGTCATGCTATGCACATTTTTAATGATTTGCATTATTCAGATAGATGCAGGTTTATTGGCAATTTTAGCATGACCAGTTCTCATGGCTGGCTTGCCACTGAATACTGTACAATAACATGTATAACAAACAATAATAATACTTGAATGAATCATTGGATATGTAGAATTTAATTAAAATTTCATACATAAAAATACTACCAGTAAGGGCCTGTTCATATGGGCAAAAGTTATCCGTGTTAGCGAGAACACTTTTCAACAAGTTTACAAGCGAGATCTCACCTTGGTATGAAAATATTATGAAAAGTTACATTGCGTTCATATGAGACAACAACTTTTTCCGTGTACCGAGATCTCGGTGACCGGGATAATGTTTTTCCCATATGAACACAACTTTCCCGCTTAGCGGGATGACTTTCTGTTGTGTCAGCAACTTTTCAGTTCAATTCATGTTCGGCGCTATGTCATAGCTGGATTTATTTAGAAATTTATTGGAATTATTTAGCAATATTTCACCGTTTCCCGTTGGCGGGAATATTTTATGATTCCTGTGTAATGTATTTATAGGCATGACCCGCGCTAGCTTTGTTCATGTGAACAGAAGATATCAATACCCCGGGTCAATGACTTGTCGCGGGGCAGTTGTTTATCCCGGGATCATGTGAACAGGGCCTTAAACCGATATAACTTTTGCCCATATGAACAAGCCCTTTGAAGTCAGTTTTGTTCCAACTACTGTATCATTTTAATGGCACCTTCAAGGCTACCCCTACTGTAGAACAACTGAACAATGAATCTGCCAATCGGGAGACAAAATCTATTTTGTTGACATTTTTGTTTAATACATCAGCTTCAGATGACCATTATTTGTAATGACTATATATATAATAAGAAAGAAATTGTGAGCATTATTGTATACAATTGCATGTGTTTTCCAATGTGGGCATCATACATTCATACTGCTCGATTTAATAGTAGTCATCGCCCAGGAAAATAAAACAACTGCAAATGGCCACTATTGAAATTGTCCCAGGTCATGCAATGACTATTAATTAAGACCAGTATTTCTCGCAGGCATCAAGCCTTGAGACTTCATTATGCATAAGTTATTTGATATACAGTAAAACCCCACCAGTAGGTTAAGAACCACTATAGTCTGAAATTTTGGCAATTAAGCACACAAAATACAAGTTTTTAAAAACTTTTTAAGTTTGGATATATGTCACAACAACCATATTAGTGTCATAGCAATAGTTTTATGCAACAACAGTTCCTATTTAATATGTAGAATATAAAAAAGTATTGTGTGAAGCAAGTCAAAATTGACTGAACTTTTATGCAGGGCTTTACTGTATATCATAATCATTTTACTGTAATATATATTAACTATTTTTATTGGCAATTTTCTTATTGACACACAACCTATATATTTGTAACTTTTGATATACAATACCTTGATGACTTGATCTTTTGACAACACGAAACAACTTTATTATTGCCAACGATTGCCCAGCTAGCGAGATCACACTTCGCTAGTATAAAATATAAAAATATAGCGAGTTCACACTTCGCTAGTATAAATATTATAGCGAGATCACACTTCGCAGTAGCAAGTTTGGTATTAATACAGGTACAGCGAGCTCACACTTCACTGCTTTTGAAACATATAAAATGAATGGTCCCCTTTGATTTGATTTGACCAAAATATCCCCGCGAACACACACCAAAATATACACCTAGAAGGGATAGAAATGTTGTAAATGTAAGTACAGTCGATGTATATATTAACTGCTTCATATTTAATACTGTAGACAGAAATGTTGTATATGTAAATACAGTCGATGTATATTACTGTAAAACCTATAGCAATTCAAGATAAATATAAACATACAACATTTCAGGATAACTTACTTTGAAACGACAACCCAAAACGGAAAGAGTATTCGATATTTTTTGAAAAAATGTTGTTGTATTAAACTTGCCAACCACACAACGAGAC